ACAACTCAGCCGTGATGTGGCCACCTTCGCAACTCACGGTGGCCTCTCGCGCTTAGACTTTGCAACGAATGCCCACGGCCAGCCTGACGTGGCCATCTTTGATTTCACTAGCCTCAGCGCTGCCGAGTACGCCTGCCGCATCGTTGATCGTCTTGGCAGACCTCTCTGCCAGTGTCTCGTGGGCGATGCTCTCGTAGAGGTCTGTTGATTTACCATTTCTGTCTCTTACTTGCTCTTCCAATACTGTGGCGTCCTAGTCTGAATGACCGATAATTTTTGTCAAGAGTAGGATATTCCCGACTCCGTTAATAAAACGTTTTATTACTTGTACTCACGTGCTTTTCTTTTTTTTCGCGGACTGCGTATTTTACGACCAGCATGGGGTGCATAAAGATATTATACTTTATTACAAAGTTGCAAAGAAGTGCTTAGGAGGATCCAATGTGTGCTGGATATGTTCCGGGAGAGAGTTGTTGTCTAGATTTTCACAAAGTGATCATTCTACTCCAACCGCACTTGGTTCACGGCAAAAATCTTTGACCTCGCGAGGTTGTGTTGAGTGCAACAACCACATCCTGTGAAAAAGTCCAGCTAATAAGGGCTTGCCTGCCTCATCAAGACTAGAAATTTGTAAGAATTTGCGGAGAAGGTGAACGAGGGTGTGCTGATAGGTCGGTCATTGCTCCTAGTACCTTAACCAGTCATCTGGAGCCCCTTGGTGACGCTAGACCGCGTTAAGATTGAAAAATACGAAGTATGCTAATTTTTACAAATCTGTCCGTATAAGCTACTGCCCCCCAATATCGTGTTGGCAAAAGTAGGCCCACTCATATACCCTTAGTCCCAGCATTTGTCCTGCAAAAAAGGTGGTTATAGAGTTTTGGGGGGTGGGGAAATAGGATGGGCAGAGAAGGAAATTTTTAAAGATGTAAAGTGAAAAAATTTAGTCGAATACACTTTGGTCGCAGAAGTCGTCTCCTCTTCTTCCTCTTCCGGGTATGATGTAAGGAATATTTGGCAAAAATAGCTTATGTAGCCCCACTCATACACCCCTAGTCCCAGCATTTGTCCTGCAAAAAAGGTGGTTATAGAGTTTGGGGGTGGGGAAATAGGATAGGCAGAGAAGGAAACTTTTAAAAGTAAGTGTAAAATGAAAAAATGTAGTCGAAGTTG